AAGTTGAAAAATTCAATAATTATTCTCACTCTTTCGCTCTTGTCTTGTTAATTTCATGAGAGTTGAACAGGAAATGTTCGTGCTAAAACGTCCGACTGGGACCAAATGTCATGACGTTTATAGCCACATGCGTATTGATATTAAGGGCAAAATGGTTCGGTGCCTCTTTGCCAACTCAAATCAGTTTAATGTTCACCAAACATTTTGAATTTGATTTTTGCCAGACTGACAAATTTAACTACAACAACAAACACCTTCCAAATATTTACCTAATACAAGTCATGTTCATCCTGCCATCCCATTTCAGACAGCAATTGAAAGAGCATCGTTAAACAATCAGAGGGAAATCAAGGATACTAGAATTTTGTCTTGTTTACGTCCTTCCAGAATTCTGGACCCTCAAACAATACATAACCTCAAAATTATGTAAACCACACCATCAACAATTTTCCAAAAATAGTCATGTATCACGCGTGACAAAAGTGTTAAATGCTTTCAAAATTTTAGTCAAATAACCTAATTCTAAGATACCACTTAGGAAATATACGCATTAAGATAATATTACGGTTAAAATGGATCTTAAAGGGTACTCTTAAATTCAAATGTTTCTGGATACATTTCAATGTCTGCCTCGTAAACACGGCAATGAATGCGAGATTTCAGGTTATCGAGACGTCGAGTATGAACATGACTGTCTTCTGTTACGCCGTGTAGGACGATGCTCGCCTTGATATTGGAGGCATCAAACACCTCCGAAACGTCTGCAAGACCAGACTTCACGGTGCAACAACCCAGAAGACAGCCATCTTTAACCTAATTATCACTTCGGTTTAGTCCAGGGACAGACAATTATTTACACCCAGTAACTGAATACGAGACTGCGACGGTGGTCTAGCGGTTATAACGCTGGCCTTGTAATCCTGGGGCCTCGGGTTCGATTCCCGGCGGTGCCCGAATTTATAACTTGTGTTGGGCAAGGCCGTGGTCTAGGCAACACGGAGTTTTCCTCCGGGGGCTTCCCCGGTTTCTCCGTGGCATCCCA